TTTATGTAAAAGATGGATTCCGTCACGTGTAAAATAAGTTATTTCTAAGTGTGTAGGTTAAGGCGGGTGGAAAACAGATTTTTTTACTATTCGGCGTTAATGTATAAGTCAATTTCCTGTATAAAATATGTCTTGAGATCTTTACTATTTGGAATGTTTCCGCCTTCGGAAAAGTGGTGATCAATGTCTTCAAATTTGTGAGTGATTAAATTCAGAATTATCTCATTACGTAACACTAGTCTACGTGTGGACTTCACGTAGATGTCTTGACTTCGTAGATTATGAGGATTTCAAGATATAGCTTATAGATACAGATAGTACACATTTACACTAGCGCTGCGTTGTGAGGGAGTTCCTAATCTTCTTGTGCACCATCACCATTTAGAATGCCTTGATCATCTTGCTTATAATGCCGGTAACAGAAGCTTCTTTGAAGTCCTGAACCTACACACTACGAAAAAGACATGTAAATTTCAGTGCCCTGAGACCGACACACGCAACCAGCCCTTTTGACATAAGAATCAGTTGGAAAGGACGAGAAAATCAATTCAATCAAACGCACTTTTCGTCGAGTTGCATAGGTTTCAGTTTCAGGACACTTAATTTTACATGCCATGTTTGTTTACGTTCCATGATTTACATCAAAGCTGAAGTACGTCTCGTGTAAAAATAATAATTTCTAAGTGTGTAGTTTTATTAATTGACTACTTTTACGGATGTTGCGTTTTTTTTCTGTAGTATCCTCCGGGGCCTCCATATCACAAATTCATACTAATGACAGGTAACAAATGTTTTCGCGAAAATGCCTGATAGAGGAAATGGCTCTAATATCGGCCTATGGATCTAAGATTGGGCCCATCGCTAAAGATCTGCTTTTTATCAACTTTATCTAGATGAACGCGTCATTGGAACGGTACTAATGGCTATTTTTGTTCGCTATTGAAAATTTAGTCAATTGCTGAATTTATGTATGGGCCCAAATTAGGGGTATTTAGGGCGACATTACATCAATTTCCCCTATATTTCAGAAACGAAATATTGTTATCTATGCATTCAGTTTCAATCGTCTTACCCTGACGCATGTCCAACTGTAACAGCTTCTGTAATGCCTCATAATTCAATGAAAACTGTATATTTTTCACTGTAAGTTCATCGAACAGACATGTGTTTTCTTTATAGTAACTTTACTTTTACATGATAAAATTATATGATAGTTCTAAAGCAATAACTTCCGTAAACAAAAATCAACAAATGCAGGCCGCCGTCATGCGCAATGTTTTTGTTTGTTGTTTATTTTGACTTTTCACTTGTTATCAAGCTAGAATGTGTTTTACAACACAAACTATACTATAGCAAAGAACTTTGCATCATTATTTTTTTTTAAGAGTTGATTGTTTCAATAATTCAAAGGATGGCCGTCTTACCGTCGTCCCCTACATCCAGAAAAGTTACAGCGCTTTGAACTGTTTTGGAGAATACAAAATTTCAACGTGATATAACTTTGTCCGGTACTGTATCTGGAATTTATGAACGATGTTTTGATGCTATTTGCAGAGGTCAAATTCAAATCCAAAATGTATTACACTACAATTCACGTGAGCAAGGAGTCAACAACATGTTTTTAACTGCAAAATATCCAGCAATAGAAGTGGCCAGCAACACCAGTAACACCCTTCTGAATCACATTGCAAATCGATGGGATAATCCTGACAAGATGGGTAGTGGGGTGGTTCAAAATATCGATAAGTGGAGCATTGGAGCAGGCTCAATCAATTCTAAATCAGGTCCTGGTCAATCTGCCAAAATTTTAGTTTATGTGGATGTGAACTCATACTGCGCTGGCCCTTTAAAGTGTACATGGAAATTACTATAGAAAATGTGATTTTTTTTGTAATCAGCGTCCTAGCACTTCGCCATAATATTTTACGGAAAAGCATGCCATATTTTCTCATGTGAAATTTTATCAGCTCACAACTTTTTTAAAGACCACTTTTTGAATAGACTTCAAGTTAATTAGTTATTAATTGATTCTAAATACGATTACTTTCTTACGATTAATCAACTGCTTTCAGGGCAACACTGCATCTTACACTTATGACATATTAGCCTGGACTTTTTGCCCTATTCTTCCTGCCAAGCACACCAATGTTGCCTTCTGAGCAGTTTATTGAGCGTTTCAGAATAATATAATTTTTTAATATATTAATAACTAATTATCCTAACGTTCAATTCAAATGCGCAGCGTTCAGAAAAGTTGCAATTGATAAAAAAAATCACATGAGCACAGATAGCAAACTTTACCGTCGATCATTACAGCGAAGGCCTAAAACTATGAGAAAAAAAAGTTCACTCTTCTCATAGTAATTCCGTATAAACATCAAAGGGCCAATGCGCTTCCAAATGAGCTCAAATTTTGGGCGAAAAACCAGGAACTGATTTGAAACCGATATTTTGAACCACTCTAATGGGTAGCTCGGAACAGTTGATTCCTTGCAGAAACGAATTTACGTAACAATTCTGGAAAATGGTAAACAAATCAAATACTAATTTTAGTAGCCCTTTAACATAAACCAGTTCCTTAGTCTAAAATTTAGCTGTGCTTATCAGAATTTACAAGGTGTTTCAATTATTTAAAATAAAATGATCCTACACCGGGGTATGTAAGATTCTATAACAGGTTTGCATGAAAAGTATGTTTCGCGACATGAACAGATTCTGTAATATGGTCACCGGAATGTTTTGAAAATAAGAGTGCAATTTTTATGTTAACTTATTTTTCGAATATCATTTGTTTCCCCACATGCATTGCGTCAAAGGACTGGTGCGAAAATAAGTTGTAAACAAATTGTTATTAAGAAATTAATAAAACAAAATTAAATACAAAAAAGTCTTATATGTTTTATATCATGCTCTTCGCAACATGTTAGCCATATAAAACAAATTAAAAAATATTCTTCAAGAAACTGATATCACTATAAACTTAGTAGCTCTTATAATATTTTGCACAGTGTATTTTTGTTACTTTGAAGGCATCGTTACAGCTAATTTATAGCTATTTCAAGGTTTCATAAGCCTCAATGTCTTTTTGAAGATATACTTTACAATTCACGCTCTGTATCAGCAGCCAGAATTCAATAGGTCGTAGTTGCTAACACTAAAAACACTAAAACACATTAGGTCGTTCTTAGCAATAATCGAAATTTCACAATTTTTCCGTTTTTTGGCCAAAATAACGTTGTTAATTGATTTTTGATTTACGGTTTCGCGACTTTGCAGTCAATTTGATTGTTTATAGGAAAGTTTGAACATACTGAGAGGTAAGCACATATCATCGGTAAGAGACGTGTGTGTGAGAAAATTTGCGAAAAAATTTAAGGGCACCGGTGGGATTCGAACCCACAATTCCCATTCAGTACACGGTTGCATTGTCAATTATACAACGGTGGACCTATGGTCTACGGATTTATTTGGCTAATGACATTTGAGTTTCAAATCCGTTCCACCCTAGTCCATTTTCACAAGCGTTCTCTGATACACAACAATCGCCTATTATCGATGATATGTGCTTGTACCGCAACCACTCAGTATCAGTCGATGTGAACAAACACAGCTCATTTTTGTTGTACATCTAGGGTGGGGAACGGATTCGAAACTCAAATGTCATTAGCCAAATACATCCGTAGACCATAGGTCCACCGTTGTATAATTGGCAATGCACCCTTGTACTGAATGGGAATTGTGGGTTCGAATCCCACCGGTGCCCTTAAATTTTTTCGCAAATTTTCTCACACACACGTCTCTTACCGATGATATGTGCTTACCTCTCAGTATTTTCAAACTTTCCTATAAACAGTTGTGAATTGATGTCAAATGAGTTCAAAACAATTTTTAAATGGATGTACAAGATGTTTGTATTCCGTGTAGTTATTTTTCGTACTGTTTATAATTTCATTCAAATTATATACGTAAGTGAGTAAACTTATTGAAAATTCAGCAACATCATTTTAAAAATCAGCAAATCTACCACTTACAAATTAACGTAGCCTGACAAACTCATAAATATCATATGAAAGACATATACCTTGTCTGCGATCAAGGTATAGACAGTAATTCAAGAGCAAATTTTCATTACGTCGAATGTAACAAAGGTAAACAAAGTCGAGCTATCAGTGTTAATCAATGCTCCTGCTATTACACTATATACTGTCCGAATATAGGATCACAACCCATTTTTAAATTTATTTACCAGTCGAATTGCTTTTTGACGTAATCACCTTCCGATCAAAATAGTTTTCGATGTTACTTAAGTCATCCGATTTCTATGGAGATGCCGTTTGCCTTAAGTAACAGCACTGAGAAACCCGTGAAAAGTGTTCTTTCGTCGTTTCGCTTTCTCATTATTAAAGTGAATAAATCGAACTGTTTGTTGCTAAGATGATTTCGGTGGTCCTAAAATGATGAATGGGCTGCACGTAAGGAGACGTAATTGATAATTCTCCCGAATATCCTGGTAAATACACTTTGACTTAAGTAACAATAGGGGCCACCAAACGACGTATAATAACTTTTGACTCAAAAACCAGTATTTCTTAGCATGAAAGCTAGCGATTTGCCTTTGTATGATTAAAAGCCGGCTGAATATGTTAAACATTGCTATCACTATGAGATTATATGTGTTTAATTGGAAATAGAAATAACTTTTCGGTCATCAAAACAAAACTTTATTTTTCTCGGATTGGTGTGAATGTTACTTACGACATAATGAAAATTTGCTCTTGAATTATGATTGATTTGATTTAAACGAAAATATTCATTCTGCTTTTGTTTTCTGATAACGAAAAGAAAAATTAAGTGGCAAATGAATTGAGAAAATAATACAAAAGGAACATAATGACTTCTGAAATAAAAATAGAGGATTGATTGTGCCCAGTCTTCTGATCTTGAAAGACTTTTTATAAACAAATTTAACAAATGAAAAATAATAAAAAGTAAATCCTTACACATACCGGGAATCCTCTGCATCATCTGCTGCCGGTAGATTTCGTGTGCTATATGCTGATGCATCCTCAGGTCAATCATGTCCGTCATCCTTTCTTTTCCGATTCCCCCAACCGTGAAACGCTACTAGCTAATCCTCTTCAAAACTGCCAACCTGGAGCCAATCCTCCGCACTACCGCACACACCGTTGTTATTGATATCACCAATAAAACTTAACAACAGTATCAATTTGTACACACCCAATCATTCGCATATTATTATGATAATTGTAATTCATCGGGGAGCACACGCCACTAATCTCGGAAGTACGAGAAACTTGATTCATAAAAATCAAAAACAATCATTTGTCACGCTGACAGTCACACGCGAGCCTATATGTACCCTACGTACGTTCCCGCACCGCAATCACTATAGAGGTACAATTCTTCACACCAAACGTGGCGTCGTGTCGGAGAGTGCATCACATTGCAACAATAGCCGCGGATGTTTTTGTTGTTGTTTTCTTAACACACACCCACGCCCTGCCACACCGTGTCTGCACGTAGCACTGGCACACAAGCCGTCGCGAGTTGATCCGAGCCTTCTTCTTCTGTTTCTTTTTTTCCTACTCGCTCCCGCCCGATTTGCAATCCCTACGGTACATTCGCCCTTTTGCGAACACGCGTCTAGCCAGTGAAAAAATCGCTTCGCAACTGCTGCGCCAATAAAATAGCTTTACTTGCCATCCAAATACAATGCTCGCTCTGCACCACCACGACGACGACGACGACGACGATGACGAAGACGCCGACGATGGACGATGCGATGCGACGATCGCGAATACTGCTAAAAAGAGGTAGAAAACACAACAATAACAGAAAAACAACCTGGTCAGTTTGCACCGTCAGCCTGCGGCCGTACAGGTTTAAGTGGCCGAAACCCTACGAAAACTGGCCGGCCGAAGCTGCTCATCAAAACGAAACGTGCAATAAAACGCGTGCGAGGTGGAAGATGAAAAACGGCACAGTTGCACCAACACAGGCACTGCCGATGAAACCTTTGCACAACGTGTGCACACGCCAGTGCACCACACGGGGAGAAAATCGATTTCTATCACCATTCTCGTTTTCTCCCTCCGCTTCACATTGTCGGGCGATGCTGATTGGACGAACGCCGTTACGCCTACTTTTCGCTTCTCCTTCTCGCATTTCATTCATACCAAGTAGCTCATTCATAAACCTACATTACGCACACATCGAACTCGATCGGCCGCCGCCCGGAGCAACCTGCGCGCTACAACGATGGCATTGAAGGAACCCCTTTTTTATGCATTTTCCGATGCATGAGAACGAAATGGCGTGAAATTTGAAACGCTTTGCGATGCGTTTGCACTTTGGTAGTTCCCAATAATGGTCCGCTAGGTCCGAATCGTGCACTGCTACAATATGGCGCTTGACGGTCACTAGTTTTCGTTCGCTACCCTTTTTAGAATGATAGATCAGGCATTTGAAATCGAATCGGTTAATTGGATTGGAATCGGTGGTTGGGAATTAAAATGTTATGTGTTGTTATCTCGGTGAGGAACTGTTGATTTATGCGTTTAGTCCGTCGCAGTTAATTCATTTGGACAAAGACATGGCGCATAGAAGAATCAATCAGCGTTATGGGTTTTAGGAGGTGATTAAAGCATGTTTTCAAATAAATATATTGTGGTTAATTATTGGTGAAGGCTTCATCACATAGAAAAGTTTCATGAGGTTGTTTGAAATCGTATGTATTGTATTTATTTCCATCATATTTCGCCATCTTCGGCTATTACATCATAATAGTGGATTTTCTCTCAGCTTAGTGTTCTTTTCGGACTTTCACAGATGTAGATTGAGAGCATTTCAAGCCTGAGTCATTCGCAGCTTGTTTGCTATTTGAGGCCTCCTTCAGCTCAGTCAGTACGGCTATAAATCAAGGCACCGTAGTAAAGCAATATATTAGGGTTACCATATGTTATCCTAAAGGAGGACATGTCCTCTTTTTTCAATAATTTTTCTACATCCTCCGTTTGCCGAAAAATTTCCTCCTTTTTAATCCTTGCATTTTTTCTAGTAACATATTCATAAAATTGTTTTCAAAGAGTGTTGTTTGCAGAGCATGTTTGTTTAACTATCTCGCAACCTCATCTTATCTAGCAAATGCCATTCGATACTGGGACCAGGAGTATGCTACAGCTGTCAACCGCCCTACACACTTAAAAATGATTATCGACTTTATTAATATTTACCGAACTTTCAACAGCTACTGTTCGGTAAAAATCAGGTATTTTAATTCATTCTTTTAAAAGTTTCAAATCAAGGAAAACATCACCGCAATGCGAGGGGGGCGACACATCTAAATCTCAATTCTAAATGCTCAACAAATCTCACACTAGCGAATCAAACTTCGAAAAATCTTCTTTGATTTCCCGTATCTACTTGCATCGCGCATCATCATTCTTCAAAATCGTCATCAATCTTCTTCATATCTACTAAGCGTGCGCACAGCTAACCACAGCAAAACACAATTTTTCCTGCATCGTAGATAGAGTCGCCCCCCTCGCCGCAATGGCAAGACTTAATTATTAAAATAAGGCTGACAATGTTTTGAAATTAAAATTTAGTGGAGCAGCTTTTGAAATGAGGGTCAAAGTTTTACCGCAGCTGTTGAAAGATCGGTAAAAAATTAAAACTTAAAACAACATTTATACAAAGTTCGTTTGAATTAACAGCGCGAAACATAAAACGAATTGTTTTAAATTTTCGTAATTTTTTAGTCTTGAGTAAATGATTTAAGGCTAAGGACAAGGAATTGTACTGATATATAATTTTTAACAGCATTCCCTTCTGATAGTGACGCTAAGAATTAACAAAGTGTTGAATTTCTATGATCCATATAAATTTCCTGAAAGTTGTATGCACGATTGTGTACGTAGGAGAGGGGGGTCTAAAATGTCTCTTAATTTTTATACGCAGATTATGAACAGCCTCCTAGTGAAAACCTTATGAATTATATTGTAAGAAACCATTATATGGCCAAATCCAGGCTGCTAAGTATTTTTTTATGCCAAATGAAAACCTTAACTTTCTCTTTTTCAGTGATATGCAGATACGCAGCCATATGGCAAATTGATTTAGTGGTTCTTAGAATATCGTAAAAATTGGTAGTTTTGTTCCTTATCGCAAAATATTAGACCCGTATTTTTTAACGTCATTAGGGTGACTATTTGTATGCTAGGGTGGCCCGAAAAATCGATGGTTGCTTCCATTCACTTACTATAAAAATTGTTGTTCGGAATTGTAAAATCATTGGATGTTGTTATGATATTTTGAACTTGTATGTAAAAAGAAGAGGTTGTAAAGTATGTGTTTGACACATGAAACCTAAAAATATTTCGAAGCTTCATAAATCTGAAAAATAGCATTTTAGCTGTATTGAGCATTTGAAAGCATTGCAAATGCTCAATACAGCTAAAATGCTATTTTTCAGATTTATGAAGCTTTGAAATATTTTAATTTACTTACTTACTTAAGGGTCCTGTGCACCACCAGCGGTGCAAAGGGCCAACGTGAAAGACTTCCATCCTGAGCGGCTGCTCGCTTTTGCCTTGACCTGGGCCCAGGTCAGATTTCTATCGACTTGCTTAATTTTTCTTATTGAGGCTCCGCCGCCATGAGCCCCTGGGTCTGCCTCTGCTGCGATGCCCTGCTAGATTCCAATCCAGCGCTTGCTTGCAGATTTCGTTTCCGCCCCGTCGAAGTGTGTGGCCGACCCACCTCCACTTTCGCTCTCGAATTTCTGTTGCTATCGGCTTCTGATGACATCGACGATGGAGCTCCGCATTCGAGATCCAGTTGTGAGGCCACCAGATACGAATTATATACCGCAGGCATCGGTTGATGAAGACCTGCAGCTTTTGAGTGTTCTCCGCTGATACACACCACGTCTCGCTGGCGTACAACAACACAGATTTCATGTTCGAGTTGAAAATTCGGATTTTGGTGCGTTGACTTATCTGGTTGGATCTCCATACGTTTCGTAAACTCGCAAAGGCAGCCCTAGCCTTCTTGATTCGTGCACCTATGTCGCTCTTGGCCCCGCCGTCCGACGCTATTTGGCTGCCAAGATATTGGAAACTTTCGACCTTCTCCACTGCTTGCCCCGCTACCGTAAAGTTGGAAGGGTTGCCCGTGTTGATATCCATATTATGATGATAATTCTTATTTACAAGATGGTAAAGTGCGTGTATGATTTTATGTGTCAATTTAACTTTCAGAGGGTCACAATAGCGATTAGCTCTAACGATGAGCAACGCGATGAGCGAGCAATCAGCGATCATAAAATCGCTAGTTGTGACCTTCTGAAAGCAAAATTGACAAATTGTATATGTCATATACAAACTTTACCACCCTTTTCTTGCATCTTACAAATGAAAACTATCATTATAGTATCCAATTGTTTCATATTAATAACGAAAAATAGCATTTTAGCTGTAATGAGCAATTGCAAGCCTGAATGAAACATCATAAATATTTTAGAAACTTCACAAGTCCAAAGAACTTCAGGGAAATTTAATGGTTTTCAGGAACTTTTGTAAAGCTCAGAGAACACCAGGACAGATAAATTAATTTCAATGAAATTGCTGAAATTATGAAGGAGTTCCGAGAAACTCTGGCAATTTCCGAAAAATTCAGCAATTTCCTGAGGAGCAAATTCATGCAAATTTAGGAAATTTAAAGAAAGTTACATGAACAGCAGAACATTTTGAGCACATTTTATGCTTTTAAATGGCAGTGTCGATAACTTTTAAATAACAAAATCGGGAAGATCAGAGAACTTCAATGCTGATGTTACAATAAATTCAAGAAAATTGTAAGAGCACTTAAGAGATTTCGTAATCTTCAAGAAAGTCCAGAGACCTTCAAAGAGGATTAGAGATATTCTGGTAGTCTCATTATAATCAGGGAAATTCCACACGCTTCGAGGATGACCAGAGAACTCCAAAACAGCCGCTAATTTTAGGAAAATGACAAGAACTTTCTAGGAATTTCGAGGAATTATGCAATATTCCTAAGTGCATTTCAGGAATGTTCCGAAAACTTCAGAGAAATTGCGGAGTCATCAGGGATGTTTTATGAATTATGTCCTTGTTTCTGTCGACTGTTCCGTAAGTGCTCTGGCTTCCGACTTTCTTCAGATGTTTCTTCCAATCTACCTTAGGAAGTTTCTGCCAGCGTCTCCAGAAAGTTTCATCCGTCTTCTCTAGGAAGTTAAATTAGTTCCGAAACGTTTCTGGCTTCCTTTGGATGTGAAATCCGATTTTTTTTTCGATACTTAATTAAAATTTTTGCCACAAGTTTCTCAATTCGTGTCTTGGAAGTTTCCAGCTTTTCTCGAACTTCATCCAGGAGAGCTTCTTTCATCATAGTTCAAAATCTTCCCGACATTTCGGCCATCGGTTGTGGCCTTTTTCAAGGGAAAATATTGTTTGTCATTATTGTCAAAAGTTTAGTCGTTGTTGTGGCTGATTTTCCATATTTTGGTTTAATTTAATGATATTTAATTGGAAAAACTACTTTCTAACAATTTTGATCACCACTTGAGGACAACGATAACTTTAAAAATTAAACTATAAAAAATAAAGAGTGTTTTAAGACTGTTTAAAGAAAGGCGTTAAACAAAGCAATTCCCCTCAAGTCCCAGTCGTCACCATTGTTAGAGTTTTCGCTTTCAAAAACGGCAAAAATATAAAATTAATTAAATAGTAAATACAAATAAATACCGATTTTTTAATACCTTTGATACCGATAAGCTTTAAAACAATCTGGCAACGCTGGTGCGGAATGCTAAACTGCAGCTGTGTGCTAGGGGAGCAGCTCATAACAAGTCGACAACAGAGATTGAGCAGTTTGCTGCATGCAGTGATGCCACATATACAGATTTATCTGTAATCATAAAGATTTTTTCAATATTTTGATACAGATTTTTGAAAAATTTACA